TAGGGTTTTGTTTGGAAGCCAGGGCTCGACAGTATATTCAGCACAGGTGTGTCGGTTATTTGGCGTATGTGGTACATACGCGGGTTGGAGAGAAGCTCTCAATTTCTAAGCTCCCGGTGGTGAGGGAATTTGCTGATGTGTTTCCGGAGGAGTTACCCTGAGTGCCTCCGGAGAGGCAGGTTGAGTTCAGGATCGATTTAATGCCAGGTGCGGCCCATATCGCCAAGGCGTTGTACCGACTGGCACTGCCTGATATGCAGGAGTTATCATCTCAGTTGTAGGAGCTGTTGGGCAAGCAGTTTATTTGTCCGAGTAGTTCACCCTGGGGGGCACCAATCCTTTTCGTTAGGAAGAAGGACGGTTCACACAGGATGTGCATTGACTATACAGAGCTGAACAAGTTAACGGTGAAGAACCGTTATCCACTCCCGAGGATAGATGATCTTTTTGATCAGCTGCAGGGTGCATCTTGGTTTTCCAAGATTTATTTGAGATCAGGATATCACCAGGTCAGGGCGAGGGAGGAGGACGTGGAGAAGAGCGCATTTTGGACTCGTTATGGTCATTACGAGTTCGTGGTGATGCCGTTTGGGCTCACCAACGCGCCAGCGGTGTTCATGGATCTGATGAACCGAGTCTGTAGACCGATGCTCGATCGCTCGGTCATCGTGTTCATAGATGATATCTTGGTGTATTCCAAGACTCGAGAGCAGCATGACGAGCATCTTAGGGAGCTGTTGGGGGTTCTGAGGCGAGAACGGTTGTATGCCAAGTTCTTGACATGCGAGTTTTGGTTACGAGAGGTCCAGTTCCTTGGACATCTCGTTAACTAGGAGGGGATTTTGGTCGATCCGGCCAAGGTGGAGGCAGTAATGCAGTGGGAGACTCCGAAATCTACCTCATACATCAGGAGTTTCTTGGGTTTAACAGGGTATTATCGGAGATTCATTCGTGATTTCTCCAAGATTATCGTACCCCTCACTCGTCTAACGAGGAAGGGGGGTGGATTTCTGGTGGGGCCCTAAGCTACAGAGGGCGTTTGAGACCCTCCGAAAGTGTTTATGTGAGGCGCCGGTGTTGACACTCCCCGAGGGAGTGGAGGATTTTGTGGTATTTTATGATGCATCCATCACAGACTTGGGGGCAGTCCTCATGCAGAGGGGACAAGTGATAGCCTACGCATCGTGGCAGCTGAAAGCTACATGAGATGAGATACCCTACGCACGATCTTGAGTTGGGAGAGGTGGTTTTCGCTCTCAATATTTGGAGGCACTATCTGTACGGGGTCCGTTGTACTATATACACGGATCACAAGAGTTTGAGACACATCATGGATCAGTCGAACCTGAACATGAGGCAACGCAGGTGGCTGGATGTGGTCAAGGACTATGATTGCGAGATCCTTTACCATCCTGGTAAAGCGAATGTGGTTGCGGATGCTCTGAGCCGCAAGTCAGCTGGGTCCTCGACCCCAACCAGGTGTATGAGGATAGCAGTGGATTCCCCACTGTTGGGTTTGATCAGGGATGCTCAGATTGAGGGCATGAGGCCATAGAACTGGAAGTTAGAGATGATTAAGGGACAAAGCGCCTGGTTTGTTCAGGATAGTCGCGGATTGTTGAACCGTTACGATTGGGTTTGGGTTCCGATGTCCGGAGGGGTCCGACAGACAGTGATGGAGGAGGCTCATAAGTCTCGTTTTTTTATTCACTCGGGAGCCACCAAGATGTACCGTGATTTGATTTCGAGTTATTGGTGGCCTAGTATGAAGCGATATATCGCTTGGTTTGTTGAGAGGTGCTTGACCTGTAGGATGGTCAAGGCCAAGCATCAGAGGCCGAATGGTAAGTTACATCCTATGGAGATTCCCATGTGGAAATGGGAACGGATCACGATGGATTTCATGACGAAATTGCCGAAGACGACAAGGGGGTTCAATGCTATATGGGTCATCGTGGATCGATTAACCAAGAGTGCCCATTTCTTAGCCATACGGTAGAGTTTGTCGGCAGAGAAGTTGGCTGACCTGTACGTCAGAGAGGTTGCCTCTCGTCATGGGGTTCTTGTTTCTATCGTTTCCGATCGAGATGTTATGTTCACTTCCCATTTTTGGCAGAAGTTCCATGAGGAACTAGGTACACGACTGCATTTTAGTATGGCGTTCCATCCACAGACTGATGGGCAGAGTGAGCGAACCATTCACACCCTCGAGGATATGTTGAAGGCGTACGTTATTGATTTCGGTGGGAGTTGGGATTCCCGCCTACTGCTTGCGGAGTTCGCCTACAACAACAGCTATCAGTCCAGTATTGGCTCCCCGCCTTTCGAGCTGTTGTATGGACGGAAGTGTAGGACCCCAGTCTGCTAGGGCAAGGTTGGGCACAGAGTGATGGATCGGACAGAGGTAGTTCTGCAAACTACCGAAATGATACATCAGATTAGACAGTGATTGCAGACCGCTTAGATCCGACAAAAAGTTATGTCAACCGATGCCGATTTGAGCTAGAATTTCAGGTGGGTGACATGGTTCTTCTGAAGGTCTCACCCTAGAAGGGTGTGATCCGCTTCAGGAAGAGGGGAAAATTGGGTCCCCGTTACATTGGGTCGTTCAAGATTATTGCCAGGGTTGGCAGGGTGGCTTATAAGCTAGAGCTTCCAGAGGAGCTTAGCCAGATCCACATCACATTTCATTTTTCGTAATTGCGAAAATGCATTATGGACCAGGAGGCAGTGGTATCGTTGGATGACATTCAGGTCGATGAGCGCCTGAACTATGTGGAGAGGCATGTGGCTATTTTGTAAAGGAAGAAGAAGATTCTTCGGAACAAGGAAGTACCTTTAGTAAAGGTACAATGCGAACATCGGAAGGGATCCGAGTGGACATGGGAGCCGGAGGTGGAGATTCGCAAACATTACTCGACATTGTTTATTCCAGCGGACTTCGAGGGAGAAGTCTAGTTCAAGTGGGAGAGATTAGTAACGCCCCGATTCTGAGGTATTTCTTAAATAATATTTTTTGGGTTAATCTTTACTCGACGAGTTGGTTGACCTACTCGTCGAGTAGCAGCGGGATGGGATCGCATGTTAAGTGAACTACTCGATGAGTCCATGTTAGGACTCGGTGAGTAGGAGCTGGTAGTGGAAACCCTAAATCCTGGGGTTTGCACCTCTATTTAAAGGAGCCTTAGCCTCCTTTGGGATCTTTACAATCTTTGAGAGCCCCCTTAAAACCCTAATTCGTGTGCGTGTGTGTTCCTTGGTGTGGTGTTGAAGCTTGGAAAAGAGGATCTTAAAGGAAGAAAGCTAAGAGTGCAAATGAAATTGAAGCAAGGAAGGAGTGGGAAGCAGGATTTACCTCAGCTAGCATCCTTTGGAGGTATCAAAGTGCCATCCTTACTTCCTTTTTTCCCTTTTGTTTAGTTCTAGGGCTTTTTATTGATTTTCAAGTTGGTATGATGAGCTATGGGCTAGATCTGAAGTTGTAACTTCAGATGTGGACCCTCCTTGGATTTTAGAAGCACAAAGTCACAATCTAGGTTGTGATTGAGGTCCCTCTTGTGCATGAATCCCCATTAAGAACTTCGATTTGGAATTTGGAGCATTTAAGGCCATGCATGCAGGTAAAGTTTGCAACTTTAAGTGATAAGCATGCCCTAGAAGCTTGGATCTATGATTTGGAGCTGCTGCATGGCTCAAAACAAGTCTGTATGGAAAGAGGACTGAATGGACTTGGCGAGTCGCAAAGTTGACTCGGCGAGTCACATGAAGATGGTCGTGAACTCAACGAGTTGTTGAACAACTCGACGAGTCCGATGAAGATCGCCATAAGACTCGACGAGTTGAAGAACAACTCGGCGAGTCGGATGAGTGTTCTCTTGGATATGTATGAGTGTGTATCCATTGAGTTGAAAGGAGGGAACTCGACGGGTGACCTTAAGTTTGATCGAGAATGAAAGGAACTTGACGAGTCTCTTCGATGACTCGGCGAGTTGGAATGTACTTCAGAAAACTCGATGAGTACCCAATGGTACTCGACGAGTTAAGGTCAACATGGACAGTTGACCTTGACTGAGGACTTTGACCTTGACCAGGAGTTGACTAGTGGTTTATGGGGTACCTTATAATGTTAAGGACTTATAAGTATATTGCACTATGATCTTAGGTGGTAGAGCCGGTGTCGGGTGATCCGAGGGTTAGAGTGTATCTTTCGAGTCGACATTTGCAAGGTGAGTTATCCTCACTATATCGATAGTGTCTACGGTACCAAGGACCGCCCTTTAGTTGTTATTGTTACGGTATGTTGCATGTGGTTATGCTTTGTTAGTTCGGAATCGAGGTAGACAGTATGTTATGCTCTTATGATCCGTAGGGATTGGTGTGTTAGTGACCTGCTTGGTCGGTACTCTAGTTACAGGAGAATTCTACGATTGATGATCAGTGTGACATATATGTTTGATGTTTATATATGCTTGTATATGATAGTATGCGCACGTGGTTATTAGCTTGTGGCTGGGTTGAGGCGGTCCTGCTTTGTGCTGAAGGCAAATATACCCTATGAGCGGTCCAGGGAGACTGTAGGCCCACGTGGCGGACCAGTCATACCAAGGCTCGGGATGGACTCAGATAGACTGTAGGCCCGGTAGGGCGGTGCAGTCAGGCCGATGGCCCAGTATGCATGTTGATTGAATTGATTATTATTGTTGTGGTATTGTCAGTGTGGTATTGTTATTTTGGGGGTAGCTTACTAAGCCCTCGGGGTTACAGTTTTCAGTTTATTGTTTCAGGTACTTCAGGGGATCGTGGAAAGGCGAAGGCGTGACCGTATCACTCCTCATCCTTATGTTATGATTTTCGAGACACTCTGATGGAAAATGATTTGAAAACATTTTGTAAACAATGCTATGTGTTTTTATTTATGATTGAAAAAGTTTAAATTTGGCGTAAAATTTATGGTTGTTACATCATCTCTTCTTATCTGAGTAACAGCTCCTGGATTATGTTTAACCAAGTTGTGCAGATACGTTGAAAGTTTGGTGAATGAATCCTCTTTGGTACCTCTTAACATCAACAACGCATATTGTTTTTCCCGCCATGCCTGTTGATATGAGATATCGATAGGAAATTTCGAATTGATGTCCCTTACAATTTCATTACCCCGATAAACTCTATTATAATCTCCAGCCAATACTTCAGCAATAAAGAGGTTGAGTACCTTTTTCTTTGATTGTCGATGATTAGCATCCAAGTTTGTTGCACAACAAGTGTGTTGGTCAACAACTTTTGTGACTTGGAAAACAGTATTCGATTTGATTCCCCTTGCCTTAATCATCCAAGAACAATTTTCTAACAAACAAACCACGTCGAACATTTCTTTGCTCGATCTGGTAGTCTTATACTGATTACCTTGTTCCATGCATTGTCTTCCAATTGCAAGCTTGAGCAACTCTTTGTCACCAAAAATGTCTAGAACCTTAATCTCTTCATTTATATCCACCCTCTGACATGGAATGTTCACATCATAATTTACATGACACGAATGCAATTGGGGCATACCATGAAACATGGTATCTAAATAAATAAGTTTAGGTTCATCATCAAATTCTTCTCTGTTAGAATCACTCTCTAGATCGGATATATCCAACTTGTCACAATCCACAAACTCGCTATATCCTTTTAGTTCACCATCATGCAAAAACGAAACTTCTTGTTTTCCATATTCATTACCAACCTTATTCGCCGCATCTAGTGCTTTTTTTGGTCAAAGTAATGGTTTTACACCAACATCATTATCACTGATATACTTATAATTCTCCGGTGTAACATACATAATCAGTTCTGGCACTACAGGCACTACATTTACATTTTCAGCGACACTATGATATTGAATTTTACTTGGACTTTTAAAATTACCTATTGGGTTGTTGCTCCCTTTTCCACTTGATAAATTAGCTGCATATGCCTTTCCTCTATCATCCACTTCGTTAAGCGAAACACCTTCTTCAACCACCACATAGACAAACACAGATTTATCTCCAACGACATTTATTACCTTGATCAACTTTCTAATATCACGATCATCAACAATACCACAATAATAGAGTTGTTCTGAATGTTGATAAGCCAGACTGACTTTTGATTCTTCGAGAAGACTCATCTTGCACTTCACCAAATACACAAAAATACAGTGAACGTGGTGGATTCGTAAAATTTAACACCTAAATAAAACATTCTTGGATTGTATTCGGGTGGCCAAACATATGATAATTGAGAATTAACAAACTCCAATCTTCCATCCGTAATGAGCAATACGAGATACTCATTACAACTCATCATGTTAATTTTGGACAAAATTGCAAAATGGTCTCTGTGGTTTGCCGATTTCTTTGAGTAAGGTCCAAAAAAAGTTTATTATCAAAAATGTCTTTATTTGGTGGTTTAGTTGTGGTTTTGGCCCATATCTTGTTAACTTTAATATTTGGCTGTTAACGTTTTTTAAATGACAATTTTACCACAGGGACCATTTTTATAGTTTTCTCTTTTTACCAAATTACAAGCACCATTTCTGCAATTCTTCTTTTTAAATTTATTGAATTATTATATATTAATTCTTCTTTCTTTTTAATTTTATTGAACTATTATACATTAATTATTTTTTAATTTTAATTTTATTGGATTATTTTTTTATCTAATTATTATATATCCATTAATTTTATTTTTAATATATAATATTTATATATTGACAAATATTACATTATTATATTACTAATTTTTTTAAATATATTATTTAAATTTTTTATTGGATTATTAAAAAAATTAATAGATTTTTTTATTGGATTATTACATTTAATTTATTATATTCTATATATAATAAATAATATTTAGTGGATCATTAATTTATTTTAAATGTATAATATTAATTCTTTTTAATTTACTGGATCTACCACAAAGTCTTCAGAATACGCAAAAGCATCGCATCTCACTAGGCATGAAAGTGGGTCCAAACTCGGATCGGATGGACCTGGACCCAGAAAACCCGGAACCGGTTAACGGGATTTTGTACAACCAGAAACCGGACCGGTATATAGGAACCGGTTCCGGTTTGGTTGTGGGTACGGTACCAGGTATAGTTGGTCTAGAACCGGTAAACCCGGAAACATCAAAGTGGGTAGGTTGGAACCGGATAAAGTGGGTTTAGAACCGGAAAACACGAAAAAACACGATTTTGTTTGTAATTACTTACTACTTAGTGGTTTGAACTATGAAGTTTTTCATATTGATATCCCAACTTTGGGGGATCGTAACTCATTGAATATGAAACAAAATTTAACAAAATTATAGTCTAAAATCATGTACAAACTCTAAACTACACTCTGAAAAAAATCGCATGTTCATCTGACTTTAAACTAATAAGATATGCATGTGCTAACATTTTCACAAAATAGAAACTACAAAAACCAAATAGCTGAAAAGTTGAAAATTTTAATTTTTTATATCCTGACTTCAAGGGACTATAAATCATTAAATATTAAACCAAAAATGAAAAATTATAGTCTAAACTCATGTACAAACTCTAAACTACAAGTTCAAAAAAACCGTATGTTAATCCGGCTTTAAACGAATTAGATATGCATGTTTTAAAACTCACAAAATACAAAAAACGAAAAAAACTAAAAACTTTGAGCTTTGATATCTCGACTTTCGGGGACGTTAAGTCAATGAATATAAAACTAAAAATGGCAAATTTATAGTCTAAAATCATGTACAAAATGTAAGCTACACGTTGGAAAGAACCGCATGTCAATCGAAGTTGAAACGAATGAAATATGCATCTTTAAAACTTTTCGTAAAAACCGGTTTCGGCCCTAAAAATGGTTCCGAATCCTAACACCGGTTCCAGTTTTTAGATCCGATTTACCTGGACCTGATGGACCCAAACCCGAATTACCCGAAACCCGAATAAATGAAAATTTTAAACCCGGAACCAGAATCGGTTTTACATATTTCGGTTCTAACGGTTTCGGTTCCGGTCCGGTTTTCTGGTTCTAAATCTCATCCCTACATCTCACTGTCGAAAATCGTCGGGACCATCACTAATCACCTTCATTGGAGGTCTGACGGAAACACTACCAACCTGTTTTACACAACGTCGCTATACAGTAGCCACTTGCAACAACTTCTTCACAATCCGTCAGATTCCTTTATATTTGCCACCACGCCTATCGTTTTCCACTAGAACCATTACTATTTGAACCACCAAGAATTCCAAACCAAACACCCCTGTTAGTTCCTCCATTTGTTGCCTTTGACCAGCTTACGCCACAAAATCATACTACCTGGTCAGTTCCTCCATTTGTAGGCTTCCACAACCCAGACACAACCTTATAACATCGAAACTTTAAGCCTGTATTTCTTAAAAAGATCTAGCGGTAGATTTGGTGGTTTGAAAACCCTATATCTAAAATTTTCGCCATTGACGGCAGTGTTGGTAGTCGATTGGTGTAGTTTTGGTTGAGAATGAAAGATTGTAGGCAACGATCGATGATTTCTGACAGGATGATGTGGCGGCGCAAGGTGGTAGAAACCAACGAATGGTGGAACTAACTAGGGGTGTTTGGATCAGACCTCCTAGTGGTTAACGCATTATTGGTTGTAACAAAAAACGATCGACTTAGTGGCAAATCCAGAGGATTCTGATGAAATGTGAAGAGGTTGGTGTCGGTGGCAACTAACAACCTTGAGTGGAACATGATGGTAGTGTTTCCGTCGGAAATTCAATGAAGATGATTGGCGGTGGTCCTGACGATTTTCAACAAAGGGGTGCGACGCTTTTACGCATTTTAATGACTTTGTAGTGGAACCAAATAAACTTAAAAAGAATTAATATTACACATTAAAATTAAATTTATAATCCAATAAAAAATATAAATGACCATTTTATTTATTTTTTATGGTAAATTTAATCTAATAAAAAAGAAATTAAAAAAATAATCCAATAAAAAATTAAAAAAGAATTAATTAGAAGAAATTAATAATATAATAATATAATATTTATTTATATATAAATATTATATATTAAAATAAAATTATTTAATATATAACAATCAATTAAAAAATAATCCAATAAAAATGAAATTAAAAAAAGGATTAATGTATTATAATTTAATAAAATAAAACAAAAGAAGAATTAATGTATAATATTTCAATAAAATATAAAAGAAAATTGCTAAAATGGTCATTCTGTTTGGTAAAAAGAGACAACTATAGAAATGGTTCCTGATAGTAAAATTATCATTTTAAAAAAGTTTAACAGCCAAATGTCAAAGTTAACGAAATAGAAACCAAAACCACAACTAAACCACCAAATAAGGACCTTTTTTGCAATTTTGTCTTAATTTTGAGAATAAAGAAGCTAGATAGAAGTGGTTTTCAAAATACGAAATAATTTCAAAAATGTGAAATATATATATATATATATATATATATATATATATATATATATATATATATATATATATATATATATATATATATATATAGCGTAGGTTCAAAACAGTAATCCACTTTGATCAAAAAGTAGTCAAGTTTAACAAAATCGTAGTCCACTCTAACAAAAAAGTAGTTAAGTTTTAAAAAACAGTAGTCCACTCTGACAAAAAGTAATCAAGTTTAGCAAAACATTATTAACTCTGACAAAAAAAATTGTCAAGTTTATCAAAAAAAGTAGTCAAATTTACCAAAAAATCTGTCAACAAATTCAAAAAAATAATCTACAATTTAGCAAAAAATTATTGTATTAATTCTTAAAAAACTAGTTTATATTTTACAAAAGAATATTTTTTTAATTGTCAAAAAACAACTCTACATTTTATAAACAATATAATTGTTAAAATAATTCTACATCTTATCAACACTTTTTTTTAATACTCTATATCAAAAAAAAAAAAAAAAAAAAAAAAAAATACAGTTTTTTTATTTATTTTTATTTTTTTTAAATCTATTGTTTTGAATTCTCAACAAATTTTAACAAAATAAATCTACATCTTATAAACACTCTTTTTAATACTCTATATCACCAAAAATAAATTAAAAAAAAAAAAATAAAACCGTAACTTTTTTGACAAAAAAGTAGATTAAACCCCAAAACAGTAGACTTAAAAAAAAAAAACGTATTTTTTTCCCAAAACCATAGGCTTTGGTTTCGGAAACCGTAGCTAAACCGAAAGGAAACCTTAGGTTTTAAAAAATCTATGGTTTTGTATCTTAGAAATAAATAAAAAATTATACAAAATACGAAACAGTAGACGAATTAGCGAAACAGTAGACAAATATAGAAACCTATGGTTTGGTGGGCTATATTTGAACATTTACTAATTTTTGGCTAAAAATCGCTAATCAATTCCTTAATTGCCCCAAAAATAAATCGTTTATTGCTAATTTAATTCGTCAAAAGCAAAAGCTAAAAGTAAGTTTGTTTTCTTTTGACGTTATTTTTTTAGTTAATATTATTTTCAAAACACTAGTTCATTATATTATTTTAATAACACTTTATTCCTTATCCTATAATTTATACATTGATACATTTTTTTATACTCATCTTCAACATACGTACCAATATCTGTTCTTTTGCAACACCTTAAGCAAGTTATTTATCGCTTTCGCCTCCTTGTACCATCCAAATGATGGGCCACACATTATTGAGGATGATAAATCTCTATCGGTGGGCATTAACGTAATAGGATAGTAAAGCATTACATTACATTTGATATGAAGGTCGGTGCATATTTACTTTACAACCTTTTCAATTATAATCACTCATTTTGAACTTATAAACCTAAGATGGTACATGTGTAAAAAGAGGAAAACTACATAGGTTGAAGAGTGTCATATATTTTTTATTGGTTGTATGTCTATGTGGCATCCTTTCCCGTTGGTGAACACTAAGGATGAGTAAATGGACCGGGGAACCGGCCGGAACCGGTACCGGAACCGGAACCGGCACCGGAACCGGAACCCGATGGAACCGGTCGGGCCGGGATCGGGACGTTATTTTTGTAGATTTTTGGAACCGGGAACCGGTAGGAACCAGAACCGATATAACCGGAACCGGTAGAACCGGCAAAAACCGGTAGAACCGGCAAAAACCGGAACCGTATG